AGCAGTAGTGGAGAAGATTAGAGTTCGAGGCAGTATTATCCAGTGAAATCAATTGAGAAACAGAAAGATAACGGTGAAGAGGAATTCAGTAGAATTTCAGGGAACACAAAGAGTGGATGTACCGGCACCATTGTAAACGATTTTCAGCCATGTCATTCAGGGTCTCTAACCATCGATTATTATCATTACCCGGACCCCAACCAGGTGGCCTACATCTGCCAACATAACTCAGTCCAGTTGTCGTCAGTGAATTCATAGATTTCTGCCATGTTTTGGTTTGGCCGCTCCTAACTTTCTTCCAACCTACTCTTAAACCACAAAACATCACTCGTTAAGGCAATTCGTGGTTAGGCATACGTAACATATATCCTAACCACATCCACTGATAAAGTTTCAATACTTCATCTATTAATTTGTCATCCCTACCTAGACTAATCAGTTAAGAATACTTTTTTTTTACCTGTCACCTATTTATTATATATAATAATACGATTGTCATTGGTAAGTAATATTTCTATCTGTACTGGTTTCCAACTAAGTATCATGTGAAAATACAATGTGTAATAAAACAAATAGGACCATTGCAAATTCTAATCATTCAACAACAAAATAGAAACCAATATATTGCATTGCGGGGTTGTTGTGAAGATTGTTAAGTTTTATTTGTAACCATGAATCGATCAATGTTAGACCACCATTAGAAACCTGGAAGCACTGGACGTGGATGCGCACTGCTGATGAGTCCCATACCAGGACGAAACGGCCGTCCAGTGCTTACAGGTTTCTTCTAATGGAGTGGTCTAACATTGATCGATTCATGGTTACAAATAAAACTTAACAATATTCACAACAACCCCGCAATCCAATGACATGTGTCCACTAGTGACTAGCTTGGTGAGGAATCTTCTCCGAGTTCTAGTGGGAAGTCGTGACCAGTGAAGTTCAAACCTGTCCGGATGTATACAGGGTATGAGGTCGCGCCACTCCGTGAATTGATCGAGGTTTGACATTAACACCGTTAGGTGCAGCCGGCTCAGTGGTCTAACGGTTAGGACGTTCGCGTACAATACCGAAGGTCCTGGGTTCGAATCTTGAGGGGTGCAGGGGTCGTGGATGCGCACTGCTGAGTAGTCCCATACCAGGACGAAATGACCGTCATTCAATGTTTCGAGGTTTCTAATGGTGGTCTAACATTGATCGACTCATGGTTACAAAAAGAAACCAATATGATAACAGAACTAGGAGATAATTAAAAAAAAAACAAGACAAAATAAAATGTTTGTTTGTTTTTTTCTCTTCATTATTGAATTCAATACCCCAATCATCAGTGTACACATACACCAATTGATCAATAAGAATTCTTTGATTTTCATACATACACACACACACACACACACACTAAATACCAGACATACAACATGATAAAAGGTCAGTAATATGCATTGAGTAATTTAGTAAATAAGTAGTAGTAGTAGTAGTAGTGTGAGTAGTAGTAGTAGTAGTAGTATGTTAAATAGTTCAATGATCAAGATTCTTGTCAGCAAAGGAATTAAAAACAGCAATCAGAAGCATAACACCCACACACACACACGAGAAAATGCACTTATACTTTGTCAATGAGTATCAATTGAGAGAAGAAACCTCTAATTACTTAAGGGTTTTCTATTGATTAGCTATCATAATTATTTTATATGTAGCATTAAAACAACTGTTGCGTCATGATCAAGAAGTAAAACAAACAATTACAATTACAATTCTTTTAATTGAATGTTGAATAAAATTAGAAAAAAAGAAAAGATAAACAAGAACCAATCATGTTAATAATCACATTGATAAAGAAAAAAATATTCTAAATGATGATGATGATGATGATGATTATAAGGAATTTATTCAATCTTTTTTTCTACAGAAAATAAAATTCTCTTTGAATAATGAATAGTGTGTTCCGGTGTTGTAGTTTACATTTAAATGAATAGTTATAATGTATAAACCAACTAACTAACTCAGTCGGTCAGTCAGTCAGTCAGATGCGACGTAGAACTTCGTATGTAAGTACATCAGTTCATGTCGCCATACTACATCAGCGCATAGATATAATTGTCCATTCAAATCCAATATTAGTAGAGGTAGTAAAGGTATTAGGAGTAATCGGAGAGGTTAGGATTAGAAGATATTATTCAAGAAGTATGATGATTCAGTGACATAAGTTTAAAAAGTCAAAGCTAGAGTTGTTGAAGAATCTAGAAGATTAGGATTTGAGAGAACACAAAGAATAAATGCACCTGCGCCATCGCGAACGATTTTGAGCCATGTCATTCAAGGTCTCTAGCCATCGATTATTATCATCTCGCGTACCCCAACCAGGTAGTCGACAATTACCAACATGGCTAAGTCCATTCGTCAATGACTTCATGGATTTCTGCCATGTTTTGGTTTGGCTGTCCCTAACTTTCTTCCAACCTATTCCTACACTACAAAACAAAGCTCGTCGAGGCAGTCGGTGGTTGAGCATACGCAACACATATCCCAACCAACTCAACTGATGAAGTATCACTACTGCGTCTATTGATCTGTCATTCTTACCTAGCACCCGATTCCTAATAACAGCGTTGCTCACTCGGGTGTCCCAGGATATACGAGCAATGCTTCGAAGACATCTATGATCGAAAACCAGTAACCTACGAATATCTTCGAACTAGCTAACTAACTAAAACAATTCAACTTAGATGAAATACTGTGGGGGAAAATGTTAAAAAAATCATAATGACTGAGTAGTCTAAGGTTTGAAAAAAAACAGAGAGAGATTGTGAATTATTGTAAATTATTTCTGTAGTAAAATAATTTAAGTATGGAAATTTTCACTTAGGGTATATTCAAAACTGAATACAACGAAACGTGAGTCTTGGATTCCACTGTCAGTTATCACTCATCGACTTCAATAACAATTTAGTCAGTCAGTCAGTTACAACGTAGAACTTCGTACGTATGTACGTACGTATGTTCATGTTGCCATACCACATAAGCACACAGACGCAAATGTCAAATCAAATCCTATAGTGATAAAAATAGTAGAGGTATTAATGGAAATGAAGAAAACTAGGGTTTGAAGATATTATTCAAGCAGTATAATTCAGTGAGATAAGGTTAGAAAGACAAAGGTAGAGGTGCTGACGAATCCAGAAGATTAGAATTCGAGAGAGCACAACGAATGGTTGCACCTGTGCCACTGCGAACGATTTTGAGCCATGTTGTTCAAGGTCTCTAACCATTGGAGACTATCGTCTCGCAGACTCCAACCAGGTAGGCTACATCTACCAACATGACTCAGTCCACTCGTCAATGACTTCATGGATTTCTGCCATATTTTGGTTTGGCCGCCCCTAGCTTTCTCCTAACCTACTCCTCCTACACCACAATACATGAATGATAAAAAATAATCAATAACACTCAGATTATTTTCTATCATTCATTCAACAATACATATATTAGCAGAATATGCGTTTTATCCTATTTTAGGACTCGTCTTTAGCTAGATGTAACTGCCTAATCCTAGAGCGACTCGAATCCGGTATAGTTCCTTTTTAAACGCCATAGCATTATCTACTACTTAACTACTGAGTCTCGATAGCCACCGATTTGTGCTTGTAATTTAAAAGCAGAATCGAGTCAATCCGTATAGCATGCACCATATATGATACTAAACTGACTGCTTATAATTGCAACCTTATGAAGTAACAATGAGAAAATTCAACACAACTAAATACAAATATGTATTTTCTAATATTTCACTACTTAAATATTTGAAACCATCAATCAATCATTGTTAGACGACTACCATTAGAAACCTGGAAGCACTGAAAGACGGCTGTTTCGTCCTGGTATGGTATGATTTCAAAAATGTGTAAAAACACTAATCACCAAAACTCTAATTAAAAATATCGTAAAAATGTCCTCACTAATGACTAGCAGCTTCGTGAGGAAATTCTCGGAGTTCTAGTGAGAGAAGACGTGACCAGTGGAGTCCAATCCTATCGGGTGTAGGCAGTAACTACCAAAGACAAATGGGTAAGGTCGCGCAAAATCCCTAGATCAATCAGAATAAAACATCAATACCGCTGGATACCGGCCCAGTGGTCCAGAGGTTAGGCGTTCGCGCACAATACCGGAGGTCCCGGGTTCGAATCCTGAAAGGTGCAGGAGTCATAGATGCGCTGTTACGTGTGCTGTTACGGGTATGAGGGCGGTTGTCACTTCCCGGCTGCCCACACCGTGGAAGGTTGTTTCTTGAGGGACCTGAAAAGGAAGATAGATTAGTGTTGGTCTTAGAGACCTGGGAGCGTGACCGTAGAGCCCAAGGGACAACTGCTTGAGGCCGGTCACGCACGGCCTTTTTATGAAAGGTATTTTGAGGATTAGCTCCATTCTTAAAGGCCCTTAGTGGGCACCCTTACCGACGGAGACGGAAATCCGTGAGGTAGGGTGAGGTGTGACATTTTTAGGGTCGGCCTTTTCTAACCCTTCCTTCCTTGTGAGAAGGCAGCATCGCTGCAGATGCTGGTTGTCCGAGGGAAACACCTTACTGCTGTCACACCCCTCCATCACAGTCAGTGGTACGACTTCGCCCTCAGACCTTGGGGTAGCTGCTTTTAGTCTCATCGTTCTCCGGCCGACCTGACTGGCATGGTAGAACCTTCAGGAACATATGTTCCAGCCAGTATAGCTCGGTTGGGTCATCACGATAGGCAAGCCCGACCACCACGTCAAGGTAGCAGCTTCGGTCGGGTCATGGATGCGCACTGCTGATGAGTCCCATACCAGGACGAGACGGCCGTCTTTCAGTGCTTCCAGGTTGCTAATTAACGGTAATCTAACGATGACTGATTGATTGATGATTTCAATCTGATGAAACAAACACACTAATCTCCTTCATATAACTTCAATTGAAAATAACAAAATATTATTAAATTTACACAATCAGAAAAAAATTTAAAAAAACTTACACTGAATAAACTTCACATGGTTTTTTATTCACTTTACGATCTAATAAATGTCGTCGAAAATCTTCATAGGCATCTTTTATAGCTACAACAGCTAATGTAATTAAAACAGGAATTGGTGCAACTTCTTTCGCAAAGGCACCAATTTCCGGTATAAAATTTAATACAAGGATAAATACAAAGTAAACATTAGCAAAACGATGAAATTGTTCCCATAAATTTAATGGTAAAAATGTCCATAATGTATATTTGGTTGTTTTAATATAATTTGATGCATATTTATGATTATGATTATGATTATTATTGAATGAAGAATGTTTGTCCAATTCAAATTTGTTTAAATGAATTAATGTAGTTGGATAAATGATACGTGGTGATAAGTCATGTTTACGTTTAAAAAACCAACGATACATTTAATTTTTGCGAGGAGAAGAAGAAAATAATTAGGTTTAATAATTTGTGTTTGTTATGTAAGATTTTTGTTTAATTTGATGATAGATTTTCTTTCATTCAATTGTGAAATAGTCTAAAATAAAATAAGAACATGTTTTATTTTATTTTTTAAGATTAGTAGTAATATGAGTATGCATATATTAATGATGTTTATTTAGTCTAATAATCGCTTATTGACTTAGAATATGCCGATGACCATTGTCCTACTTGGTGAAGACGCTGACAAAATGCAGAGTCTTCTGACCACCCTAAGCAACAATGCAAACATGTTCGAGATGCGGTTCTCACCCTCGAAATGCAAAATGTTGCTTCAAGATTGGGTTGCATCGGCACCTGAACTAGTGATAGGGAGTGAAGTAGTCGAGCATGTAGACTGCTTCACTTATCTTGGGAGTCTCATCAGTGCCGATGGCCTGGTGACTGACGAAATCTCAGCTCGGATACAGAAGGCTCGATTAGCTTTTGCCAACCTGCGTCACTTATGGCGTAGGAGAGATATCCGTTTGCTGACTAAAGGACGAGTGTACTGTGCAGTAGTTCGCTCCGTCTAACTTTATGGCTGTGAAACATGGCCAGTGAGAGTTGAAGATATTCGTAGGTTACTGGTTTTCAATCATAGGTGTCTTCGGAGCATTGCTCGTATATCGTGGGACACCCGAGTGAGCAACGCTGTTATTAGGAAACGGGTGCTAGGTAAGGATGGCAGATCAACAGATAAAGTAATGAAACTTCATCAGTCGAGGTGGTTGGGACATGTGTTACGAATACCCAACCACCAACTGCCTCGACGAGCTCTGCTTTGTAGTGTAGGAATAGGTTGGAAGAAAGCTAAGGGCAGCCAAACCAAATCATGGCAGAAATCCATGAAGTTATTGACTAGTGGACTGAGCCATGTTGCTAATTGTCGACTACCTGGTTGGGGTCCTCGAGATGATAATAATCGATGGTTAGACACCTTGAATGACATGGCTCAAAATCGTTCGCAATGGCTCCGGTGCATTTATTCTTTGTGTCCTCGCAAATCCTAATCTTCTGGGTTCTTCAACCCCTCTAGTTTTGACTTTCTAAACTTTTCTCACTGAATCATACTTCTTGAGTAATATCTTCTAATCACATAACCTCTTCGATTACTTCTAATACCTTTACTACCTCTTCTACTATTGGATTTGAATTGACAATTACATCTCTGTGCTAATAATGTGGTATGGCAACATGAACTGATTGGTGTACTTACGTACGAAGTTCTACGTTGCATCTGACTGACTGACTGACTGGTTTAGTCTAATAAAATCTAACGGTTTGTTTATCAATGAACTTACTTATCTGGATAATATAATTGTAAACATTCCATTTAAATATCAGATATAAAAAATTTATTTTTAAAAAAAAGAGGGTTAGAATGTTTACACTTGTATGATATATTATCGAAAAATCAAAAAATCATATCAATCAGGAATTAATTGATCATTGTTAGACGACCATTAAAAAGAAACCTGGAAGCATTGAAGTTCAAACTATGTCAAGTGTGAAACCATGCCTACCCACCGAAGACGACCGAAGAGGTTGGAGAATACATTTGTTTGATCAAAGTTAAAGATTAACATTGTCGGATGCTGTCTTAATGGTCTAGAGGTTAAGCATTCAAGTGCAAGACTGAATGTACACTGGGTTCGATTCCAGTATACGTGAGTCATAGATGAGCACTATTTAGGTCACACATATAATTAATTGATAATCCACACCTTTAAGTGTGTTCTCCTTCCTATCATTATGAATAATGTCCATAACTGTAAATACTTTTAAAGAAAAAGTTGAACGACAAGAATAAACATTAATTATTTATTTTTTCTAATGATAACTGCACTTTAAAACTCGATTACAAAAAAGCATTTTGTGTGTGTGAGGTTCCGCGATGTGCGCATAAGAGGAAATAATAATAAATATTTCAGCAATCACCTCAAAACTGTTTATCTATCTCCTATAGAGGTAATTCACAATAACTTTTAACTTACACTGAAATTTTGTTTAGTACTTTTGAAAAACTCCTTTTTACATATAGAATAGATGAAATTCAACTATTTATGATGGCTTATTTGGACTGCTATTTACCACGAAGACAAAATCTGTAAAGATAACGTAATGGCATTTGATAAGATAGATGGATTAAAGACGAGTGTCTATAGTGTAGTCTGAAGTTCTTGAAAAAAACTCATGAGGTTGTGAAAATAAATCATGAAATAGTTGAAAGCAGAGAAATATATTTTAACCTGCCACAGCATGGTCTTATCACAGAAATCATCGTGGATTTGTTGACATAAACTGAATCTCTACAAATCATAGTACCAAGTAATAAGACTTGCATCAATTTACATTGTTCATTTACTCTCTCTAAAGGAGTGGCTTACAATGAGTCACAAAATGTCAGCAAAATCTCAACTTTTCTACTCATTGAAATGCTACAAATATATTATTTTAACATTAATTAACCTGATGCTCAATTTATTTTCAATTATCAAGTCAAGACATGATGGTATCGATACCCTATAAACAGGTGTTTGATAGTATTTTTTTCCAGTGAAGGAGGAAATCAGGAAGAAGCGGTGGAAGTGGATAGGACACACACTACGAAAAGCACCTAACTACGAGTCACGAGACAAGCCCTCACATGGAACCCCCAAGACAAAAGGAAAAGAGGAAGGCCAAGGAACACATTACGCTGAAAAATAGAGAAAGATATGAGAGGACTGAACAAACATTGGACAGAACTGGAAAGGGAAGCCCAGGACAGAGTTGGCTGGAGAAAACTGGTGGGCAGCCTATGCTCTATTGTGGGAACAGGCGTAAGTAAGTAAGCTGATAGTATTTTTCATAAAAATAGATGTTGTGATGTCTTTGTCGAACTCAATGACTACTAATCCGAATATACACATACACAGAAAGTACAAGAGGATGATGACCAGTCTATAATTCAAACTAAATTAATGTAAAAAAAAGTCTCATGAAATAGCTTGCTTTCTGCAAAAAACCGTCAGTCAAGGTAATAAATTAACATTAAAGCAGTATAAAAAGTAGAGAAGTTGTCAAATGCATAGAAATAGAAAAATCAAAATACGAGGATAAGTTAATGAATGTATACTAAACACGTCAACGTTATAAACAAGTCTCACAAGATCTTCGACTTTCAACTATCATTGGTATGAAGCCTTAGGTTTCTGAGTAAACAGATGTTGACATAATGTAAACCGATAAGTAATAACTTCTCTAATTCCTTTCATGGTAATCACATTTCATCATTACTGACGTTATTATGGTTTGAATTATTTTGAATTATTTTTTCTGGTTAGCGTTTTTTTGGCAAGTGAGATTTCGACGAGAACTACGAAAGCCATCATCCAGAAGATACAAGTGTTTATTAACAGTTGTCAAAGCAAAATACTTCCGATTCGTTGGCCAGACACCATCAGCAACAACCGCCTACTGTGGGAGAGAACAAACCAGATTCCAGTGGAGGAGGAAATCAGGAAGAAGCGGTGGAAGTGGATAGGACACACACTACGAAAAGCACCTAACTGTGTCATGAGACAAGCCCTCACATGGAACCCTCAAGGCAAAAGGAAAAGAGGAAGGCCAAGGAATACATTACGCTGAGAAACAGAGAAAGATATGAGAGGAATGAACAAACAGTGGATAGAACTGGAAAGGGAAGCCGAGGACAGAGTTGGTTGGAGAGAACTGGTGGGCAGCCTATGCTCCATTGGGAGTAACAGGCGTAAGTAAGTAGTAAGTAAGACGTTATTATGACAGGAATAGTTGTTAGGTAGATAATAAAACATTCTCTAGGGTTAGTGACTGTTTATACTCACAATAATACAAATAGGATCACATTTTGAGCCATATGAAATAGATTAACATTATCTATTCAATAACACCTTGACAAATAACAGGTGCAGTGACCCTTGGAAATAATATTTGAACTCAAGAAGTCAGTTCGCCAAAACCTATCAAAATACACTCCTCCAGGGTAAATAAATACCAATAATAAATTGTTATGGTTGGTGGCTTCAAACCTGTAATAAACTTCAATTACCTTCAGATTTGAAGAATATAAGTTTCTCAATATTTTGAAAGTATACAAGCATTTTGATTGAAGAAACCATATTCATCATATACACTAATAAAAGCTATAAAAAAAATATAGTGGACTAGAAATTGTGATCATTCATCAATGCTAAACACTGTTTGTGACATTGAGGTGTTTTTTCCATATATAAATTACAGCAGTAAACACATTACGCGATCCTTAATTTAACAAGCAGAGTTAATGTATTTAACCTAATGCCAAAAAAAGTCAGGACAAAACATAAACAATAAACAATTATGTTAAGATATTCTTTACTTGAGAATTTTCTTCATTTATAAACACTACTTAGACTCATTAACATCAACCGACTGCCTTCTTCGAATGTTGACTAGAGTTAATTCTGTTGACTCCTATAAGTTACGCTATAATAGACTTTCTTTAACATTTAGGCGTCATGTAATTAGTGGACACTGTACTGTGAATGACGCTTAACTTCAATCTTTGGATGACATTTTTTTGAAAACTCAGAAAAATCTTTCGGCCAATTGGTGATTTTTAGATCTTTGTAACTATCAAGGTTTCAGTGCTAAATACCCTGTTCCGTATTTCTTCTAGTACAGACTAAGTATGTAGAAAAAACGTGTATAATAATGCTAACAGTTCGTGATAACGAGCTAACATAGATAACAGAAAAACGTGAATCCAAAAATCTGTGGTAGTTAGATGTACGTACATGTAATGATGAAAACAGTGCGAATCGAAAGTAAACTGAAAACCAACAGGTAAATGGGACTTGAAATTTATATAAGGTAAGCATCTAATATCTCAAATATCTTTTTCACGGGCTAGTGTAAACCAATTTGATTTCTTTGCGCTCGA